TTCTTTTGCGGCTTTACATGTGGAAATTCTGTTGAACTCGTTGGCATCTAAGGCGCAGTACAACAAGTTTGTAGCTTTGACATTAATTTGGGCCATTCTAGTATCTGATTCATCCCACTCATCTTTAGGTTTTTGTACCCTAAGTCCATCTACGGTTTTGGTAGAAATTTTTGGACCATTGCAAATGATTTTCCAACATTCATAATCATTAGATTGAACATGTATGGTTATTCTAGTTTTCTAATAGCTAAAATTTGTGCCGCTAAAGAGTGGTGGCCTATTGGATGCTTGTCCCTCGGGTAAGGAATAACTAGGGGTTGCCAGGATCTACTCTAAGACGGTTAAGTCACACAAACTAGAGTTTAGGCTCTGATACTAATTGTTATCCCATATAAGCAACCCAAGAGAGGGGGAGAATTGGGTTATTAAAAATTTCACAATATTAAAATTAACACAATATTCAGAATTTTAATAAATAAAAAAAAAAATAGAATAATAATTATCAATATAAAAATAAGAGAGATAGGGAGAGAAAATCAAACACTGAGATTTATAGTGGTTCGGCACGCCAGGCCTACGTCCACTCCCCAAGGAACCTCCTTGAGAATTTCTTTACTATCAATTGAATAAATACACCACCAAGCTTGTAGATCTGGCACAGGACTTACTCTTATCTATTAAGCCTCACTCAACAATAAATGCCTCACCCTTACAAAATCTCTCACAAGAATAATAAATAAAAATAAGTGGTACTTAAACCCTCTTTTACAATAATTCTCTCACAAAGAGTAGATATGAAAGTGTAAGATCAAAGGCTACACTTAGATCTGAAAGTGAAAGAGTAGAATACAATATACTCAGAAATTTTAGAACACACATAAATTTTTTTCTCTTTAAGTTCTTGATTTTTCTCCACACATAACACTTCTATTTATACATAAAAATATACCCGTTAGGACGCTCCTTGCTGACGTCATGGCTTACATAAGCACGCTCCTTGATTTTAAATAGTCAGCAAATGTTAATAATTAAAAAGATAAAAGTATGAATAATTTTTTCTTTACCTTTTTTTTTGTTTTTTTTCAAACATGGAGCCACAATTTAATATAAAGTTCACAAATTTCAAACAAGCAAATGATTTGCTCCATCTTGTTTGATTATAATATGATATAATCAATGTAGTATAAAAAATTTAATTACACACGTGATGTATTCTATTTATATTATATGCAATCTATATAACATTCTAATCAAATATTTGCATATATAATAAAATCCCTTTAAGTAATATTTATAATAGATTTGATCATCTATACTCTTTTTCTGTATATGTTGTAGAGATTTTAAATTAAATATAACCTTCCACTCCATATCAATTTTGTTAAAAGAAGACAACCCATTAATACCAAATTTGTCCAAATAATACAACCAATCAATATCAAATTTGTCAAAATAATATAATTAATCAATTTTAATTTTGTCAAAAAGTGAATAGTGATCAGCCGGAATTTTCAAGATAATACAACCAATCAATCAATTTTGTCAAAATAATATAATTAATCAATTTTAATTTTATCAACAAGTGAATAGTGATCAGCCTAAATTGTCAAAAAGTGAATAGTAGGGTTTTCAAAAATATTTTTATTTAAATCATATTTAACAAATATATATATATATATATTAAACATATAATATTTTGTGTCAAATAATATTTTAGACATCATTTTGCAAATAATATTTTAGGCATCATCAAAATTAAATAATATGATTAACAAACATGACTGTCGAAACCGTCAACGGCGAGTTCGCGGCAGACATAGCCGAGAAGCCAAGCGACCATGATGCTGTCAACCTGCAAGACTCCCAGGATCCCTCAGAAAGTTGGAAACTTTTTGTTGGTGAAATGTAGAAACTTTTCGTAGATGGCGCCTCGAATCAGCACGGCGCCGGGCTCAGCATTGTTTTGATCTCGCCGGACGGTCTAACCATCGAACACTCTATTGCACTCGGATTCCCAGCGTCGAACAACGAGGCTGAGTACGAAGCACTGCTGGCTGAACTTAGAAGCACGCTCCAATTGCGCACATCCGAGCTGATGGTCTACAGTGATTCCCAACTCGTCATCAACCAAGTGTCTGGAATCTACGAGGCCAAAGATGACAGAATGGCCAAGTACCAAGCTCTAGTGAGAGAACACATCAAGGAATTCTAGGCAATTAGGGTGCAGCAAATTGGTCGTGAAGAAAATGGCCGAGCAAATGAGCTAGCCAGGCTAGCCTCCATGTTCGATAGTTCAACTCCCAGTCCTCTCCTGATCGAGTTTCTTCCAAGGCTTAGTATTGAGCACTCTGTGTAGATGAAAGTACTCTGCACCGAGCTTGGCCCTTCTTAGATGGACCCTATCATCCTTTTCCTAAAAGAACGAATTCTTCCGGCTGACAAGAAGGAAACACATAAAGTCCGGGTGAAGTCAGAGCGGCTTTGGCGCTCTCTATCTAGTGCTTTATATAAGAAGTCATTCACAGGTCCGTACCTCAAGTGTGTTCATCCAAACAGTGTGGAATCTTTCCTGTACGAGATCCATGAAGACATGTGCGGAAGTCACATCGGGGGGAGATCTTTGGCCTATCGAGCTATCTCGCAAGGATACTAGTGGCCATGTATGCAAACGGATGCTCAAAAATATGTTAAAAAATGTGAAAAGTGCCACAAGTTCACCCACCAAATTCACCAGCCAGCCAGAAAACTGCTTCCCTTCACAAGCCCTTGGCCTTTTGCGATGTGGGGGCTGGACATAGTGGGACCACTCCCAACGGCACCAGGTAACCGAAAGTTCTTCATTGCAACTACAGATTACTTCACTAAATGGGTTGAAGCTGAGCCCTTAACGACTATCAAAGAGAAAGATGTCAAGCGGTTTGTTTGGCAGAATGTGATAACGCAGTTTGGCGTCCCCAAGGTCCTGATTTCTGATAATGGCACTCAATTTAATGGGCACCTGTTCAGAGGATTTTGTGAGGAATTGAAGATAGAATTCTACAACTCCACTCCAGCCTATCTGCAGTCCAACGGCCAAGCCGAAGCATCAAACAAGACCATTCTAGATGGATTGAAGAAAAGACTAGAGAAAGCCAAAGGAAAATGGTTTGAGGAACTCCCAAGTGTCCTCTGGGCATATCGAACAACCCCGAGACGCTCGACCGGGAAAACTCCTTTTGCCCTGGCATATGGCATGAATATGGTTATCCCATTGGAAATCGGCATGCCCACCATCCGCAGCGAAAATTTTGAGCCCGAATTGAACTTCGAAGCCATCGCTCTGGAATTGGACCTAGCTGACGAGCGCCAAGAAAATGCTTTAATCCATGTGGCCGCATACCAACAAGAATTGTTCAGAAAATACAACAAAATGGTGCACCCCAGACCATTTAAAATCAGGGACTGGGTTTTAAGGAAGGTGATGGGCAACACATTGGTGCCGGGTGAAGGCAAGCTAGGAGCAAATTGGGAAGGGCCTGACAGGATAATCGGCCTGGCGGGCAAGGGGGCATACCATCTAGAGGACTTGGATGGCAAAAGCATATCTCGGCCATGGAATGCAGCCAATCCCAAACTGTACTATTTCTAGCATTTGTCTTTTATATGTAATTTTTTGTAAAAGGACATGTTTTCCTTTATTTTTGAATGTAATACTCCATTTGCTAATGTAATAGAAATGAGTTATTTCTGCTTAAGAAGTTTGTCGTGTTCGAAATAATGTAGTGAATGAGGGGGCATACTCTCAAGTTTTAGCTGAGACGATTTACCCCTGCTAAAAGAGTTGGTGGTTTGTCCAACTCAAAGGCCCTAGCCGAGATGCTTTACCCCGGCTGGAAGAGTTGATGATGTGCTCAACTCGTGTTTTAGCCGAGATCATTTACCCCGGCTGGAAGAGTTGATGATGTGCTCAACTCTTGTGTTTTAGCTGAGATGATTTACCCCGGCTAAGAGAGTTGATGATTTGATTAACTCTGACTTTCAGCCGCGATGAGTTATTCCAGCTAAAAGAGTTGATGATGTATTCAACTTTGTATTTTCAGCCGAGATGATTTACCTTGGCTAGAAAGAGTTGATTTGCTCAACTCTTAGTTTTGACCGAGATGTTTATCTTGGCTTCAGGAGTTTGACCGAGATACTTTTCTCACCGGCAGAAGTAGTACGGTTTTGAGAATTAACAACAACAACACATTGCAAGAGTATAAGCAACATGAGAATTTTTTAGTAATAGGAAAAACTTGGTACATGTGGTAGAGCTTGTAGCCCAGTTACAAAAACCCAAACAGAAACCAAAATAAAGAAGTCTAAACTACGCTAACAGAGAGAGATCGGCAAACTCATCCCCGGCTCCTTCTGTCGCAACCTCTACGTCAATGACAGCAGCCTTCTCCTTTTCGCCAAGCTCCTACTGGCTACCGTCGTCCTCGGCTCATATCTCTGCCGCCTTTTGTAAAGCGTTAAAGACTTCGTTGGCGTAGGGAATCAGGTAGGCAGATAGGAAGGCTGGGGGAGGAGAAGCAAACACCTCAGTCTCCGCTCCTTGGCCGAGCTTTTCACAAGCGGCCTTTCAGCCAGACTTGAAATAAATGTCCTTGGTGGCTTCGACTTGCTTGCTGTAGTTGTCCTCAGCCTCCTGGAAATCGAGATTGTTGGCCTCCTCCATGACAGCTGTCCTCGCTTCTTTCTCGGCTCCAAGTTGGGCTTTCAGCTCGTCTCTCTCCTACTCGGCCCTGTCGAGCTAGCCAAGGAGCCTTGCGTTGTCAGTATTGGCTGTTTCGAGCGAAGCTTTAGACCTCCCCAGCTTGGTTTCCAAGTGCTTAACTTGATTGGCTCCATCGGTCACCTTTTGCCACAGCTTCTGAATTCGGTCCATCACAAGATGTTGTTTCTAGATGGCCTACAAGAGGACACGTTAGAGTTCGAATAAAGAAACTCAACCGTGCAAACACTTGAACAAATTTGAATCAAACATGCGAAATTCTTACCCGGGTCATAGACTTGACCAAGGACTTCACGAGCCGGGTGTCGGGCACGTGGTCGCTGTCGGTCACGTCACTCGGCAGGAGTAGAGCTTTTGTCAGGTCGAAAGCCAAGAGATGTTCATTGTCTCCTTTGACTGAAGTGTTGGCCAAGATCTCCTTACCCCAGTGCTTCAACTGCGGTTTCCATGGTGGCATTGGCTCAGATGTATTTGCGGGTTGCTCAGCGCTCAACTCTACAATGAGCTCGGCTATTGGGTCGGCGGATCGAGGCCCTTTCCCGGCTCCGCGACTTTCTTTGCTGGTCTGCGCTGCAGCAGTCGACGCCAAAGCAATCACCATCCCAAATGTTTGACTGGCAGCAGGGGCATGGTGAGGGATGCTCGGCACCTCGGTGGACATGGCGGTGACTAGATTTTTGATACGGCTCCCTTTGCCCATTTCCTCTTCCTCGATCAGACGGATTAGAGGCACGTCCAGTAGTGTTGGATCGTGTGGTGGAGACGGTGCTCGGAGAAAGTCTGTAACTCCACTCCGGCGGGGAGCTGTGTATCTATAGCTCAGTACATAGCCGAGAAGGTCATGGCAATCATGGTTTCGTTACCGTAACGCGGCTCTGATGGCAGCCTCGTTGGGGTTGAAGTAGTTCGCTTGCAAGGCTTCGATAGCTGCAAAGAAAAAAAGGCATTAGTGCAGAATCGTGAAGGAAAGTGGTTTGACCGAGTAGTGAGCACGGCTTACATGTCGAACCGAAGTTCTTGCTGATGTACCAGCCAGGCACATCGGCTATTTTCGTAATTTTTGGATACCTAGAAAAAGTCATCATCGTGCATATCTTTATCTGGGGTGCCAGTTACAATCTTTCCTTGCCCGACCTAATCTTCAAGTAGTAGTTAAGCCCGTCTGTTGTATGCCCGAGGGTGTACTGGCATAGAATCTCGGCTAATCCGAGGTTCAAGCCGAGCTGGTTGTTCAGCTCGGCTACCCCGTTTATTATTCGGAAGGTATTGGTTGAAACTTGTGTTGACGCTAGCCCGATGCGCCTCAGGAACTCACACATTAAGGGTTGAACCGGGAAACGTAGGCCTCCTTCTATTATGGAAAGCACGGTGAAGGGGCATTGGTCCAGTCTGCCCCATGGGGTGGTGTCTTCCACACCGAGATCGATATGGACGTCTGTAGGGACGCCATATTCTTCCCAGAACACGGCTCATGCGACCGGCGTGTCAACGAGGAAGCGGTAACGCCCCATGTGAAACTGGCCTGTTTCAGTACAGCGGTGTTGGTTTGGCAAAGTTTCGTGCGTTGGCTGCTTGGCCGTTGAGAGCCCTGGTGCTGGTGGCTGGCCCCCTAGGACTCTGCAGTAAAAGTCAAGTGTGAGTGGCAGCGCAGTTGCGCAAACGAACTCCACTTTAGCTTAGTCACAAGAAGTGTAGCAGCACTTCGATCATTATGGTGCACCTAGAAGCTCGGTCGCCCGGGCGGACCAGATATTGGCCCGGTCGAGCGGTCTAGCATCCGGTCAGACAGATTCCTACCCAACAAACTCCAAACTTGCTCGGTTTTGGTATTTTTTGGGATCAAATGAGGTCGGGGAGCTCGGTCCACCCTAGATTCTCGCGTGTTTATCACAGAAAATGAAGAATAGTCGAGGGAGAAGGGGCAGGGATGGTTCTTGGGGGTTATGTCATAAAACCTGCATGCTATCGTGCCCTAAACACAACTATGACATTCTCAGGCCTACTTGTATAGTAAGAACGAGTAACAGAGGAGGTGGAGTAGAAGAAATTCGAGGAACTTACAGTTTGGGAGGCGAGAGTCGGATCTTCGAGCACGTAGACAGTCCTGGGCGACGACAGTGAATCCAAATCCACGAGACGGATGCTGAGATATGGGCAAGAATGGTATTGGTTAGAGGGGATGGCACTGCATCACTGGGTCGTCAAAAATGGAAGAAGAACTGTAAGAAAGAAATGCGAAGGGGCAAGCGGCATGCATATAAGAGAGAGAAAAAAGCACCAAAATTTTAAATGTGAAGAGGCGGTGGGGTTGGTGGCTCGAGGCCAATGAATGACTGGCGCGTGTCTGAAATGACGGCGACGTTAGTACTGAAGAGACAAGTTGGTGAGTAAAGGCACCGACCAAGCAAGTCAAGAGACCGAGCATGGGGATTAGCGTGGTTAATGTGCAGCGTAGGAAGGCCGGGCGGAGAATCGACTCCGGTCGGATCATGTAATCCCAGTCACGCTTGCGTGGACGGAATTTAGGGGCAATTGAAAAGGAGATTCATAATCTGCCTTTGGGCCGTGGTAGAGGTCAGGCAGAAAGAGGTCCGAGCGTGTTTAGGCCGAACTAACTTGGGCTTGTCTAGAGTTGGTTTGCTCGGTTGAGGTCCCGGGCCCATTCAGTGAGATGACCGTCTATCAACCCGAGTTTTATTGTTCGCACACTTAGCTCGGCGGGAAAGGTTTTCTACGGACCGACCTAACCTATCTGGAGCTCAGTCGTACCAGAATGCTACTGAGCTCGGTTATGATGAAGCTCGGCGTGTGGCACTGTTGGACTCGTTAAGTGGCACGGTCGTAGGAGGAAGGGGTGATGCCGCCAGGCTGCCCGTTCGCGCCAATGCCGTGTGACGGTTTGATTAGGTGGTGTTTAGTTGAATTTACGCTGACAGGTGAGAGAGCATGATAGGAGAGCAGCTCCACGTGTCAATAGGCGAATGGATGCAGAGGTGAGCGCATAAAGTATATAAACATGACTGCGCCCCCCATGCTAGGGTGGAAAATCATTTGGTGAGAAAAACCCTTTGTCTACTGCTCTCCCTCTCCCTCTCCCTCTCCCTCTCTCTTTATCTGAGTGTATGCTAACTTGACTGTCGGAGGAGTTTTCCAGCAACACATCGCTAGGTAGCTCACCGCCGTTGCGTTCATAGGTTAATCGGATCGAAGTGGAGCTTGGATGCGAGGAGTACGGGCAGTATCAAATATTTTCTCTTCGTACAATATATCTTTATATGTATCTCAATATCGTTATTTAAAATCATGAGTAAGTATATGTACCGTAGAACAGGAATGACAGTTTGTCTAAGCTTTAAGCCAACACCAAGCTGATCAAGTGCAAGCCAACCATTCGATTGCATGCCTATGCCAGCTCCTATGGTTCTTAGAGTCTCAGCTCTTTCCAGAACAATACTAGTCATGCCCTTCCTGTATCCAAAAAACCAACCACTAAATTATTCATTTTTTATTGATATATTATCTAATATCAATATATATTACAATATATATATATACTAGCATGATAAATATATATATACTAGCAAGTACCAATCAATTGGGCATGTGTGCAAATATATATATAAAATAAATAAAATTGTCACCTATGAAGGGCAAGTGCAGTGGCAAGCCCACATATCCGACCCCCAACTATTACAATATCATGCAGTTCAGCAACATCCATCTCTCTCTCTCTCTCTCTCTCTCTCTCTCTCTCTCTCAGTAGTCTGAATTTTCAGTTGATCTGCAATTTACATGGGTTGCATCTTCTATTTATGACAAAATGGAAGTCATGGGATGAAATGGTTGACGTCTCTTTGTGACATAATTGTCAAAACGTTGCAAAACTATTCTTTTAGCTTACTACAAAAAAAGTTATATATTTTGACTACATGGTTTTGTTGGTGAGTCGTCATTTTAGCATAATTAAGTTTCACATCAATATTTTCCAATTAATTTTTGAATATTTAACGCTAAATCAAATGAATCATTTCTCTCACTGCTCTAGATGAGTATCAAAGTTTTTAATTTTTTGATTATTTTTTTCTTCTTTTTTTTGTGGATGAATAAAATGTTATTGTAATTATTAGGGTAATTTAACTTTGCAGCTGTAATTTTTAGTATTTTGAGATAAAATTTAATTTTGCTATTTTTTAACAATGAATTTGATTCAAAAAATTTTCGGGGGGATGAGATTTAACTATTTTTTGACTATATATATTATAAATCTCAAGGAATTTGCCTACTGAGTGCAACTTGGGCCCTAGGAATGTACTTTCTCTAGGTCTCAGGCTCAACTCCACCTGAGATTTGTCAAACCAACATAGAGGAGGTGCTTTGTGTAGGTCCCAGATTAGTCGAAGTATGCATAAATTGACTTGGACACTCATGTAAGAACTCGAGATGGTGTTGATATTTCATATTTTGAGTTTTTTTGGTTGATGTTTCATAGTTTGAGTTTTTTTCAAAAGTGAAAGCTTATAATGACATTAACATTTCATATTTTGAGTTTTTTTCAAAATATCTTATCATTTGATGTTTATGTAAAAATTATATTAAGATGGGAATGAAACTCAAAATGAACATTATAAGTTTGATAAGAAAAACGCTTATCATTTAAATAATACATATTATATATATATATATATATATCCGTGTTATTATTTTTATAATATATATTTTTTTAAATTGCAGATACGTAAGCATACCGCTCATTTTTTAATGGGAAAATTACTAAGTAGTCCTATGTAGGGGATTTATTTCCCTTCCAATCGCAATATATTTTTAATAGATTAATAGGTCCATAGTTTTTAAGTTTTACACCCAGAGGTCCCGTTTTTTATTTTCGTATTTTGTGAATGACTGTATTACCCTTTATTTTGAGATCTATATATACGTGAGAAAACAAATTTTTGCTCCGTTCAAAAAAGAAAATCAAATCTTTTAGTCTCTGCGATCTCGATTTCTCTTCGTTATGGCGATCTCATTGTGCTGTGTGGTCAATCTCATTGTGTTATGAGGTGGATCTGGTTGTGCGATCTGAATCTCTATGTACAGGCGATCTCTGCGTACGTTCTCTCTCTCTCTCTCTTTCTCTCTTTCTATCTTTGTGTATCTGGTTTGTATCTGTCGATACATATATGTATGTGTATGTATGTGAATGTATGTATCTATCGATACATACATATACATATATATATATATATATCTCTGTGTGTGTATACATATATGTATGTATATATAGATAAGCAAATTTGCGTGATATCTAGTTTGTGTTTGGCAATGTTGTTTTAGTTCTTTGTTTTGTGATAAATTTTGTTTGTTTGATATTTATTTTATTTGATTTTTGTATGTGATATAGTGTAATGATTTTGATTTTGTTGATTTTATTTGTTGTATAGTGTAATGTGTTTTGAAGTTGTAGTTTGGAATTGTGAATTCTGGTGTTTTGATACTGATATGTTGTAAGTGTTTAATTTTGCATTTTGGAATTGTGAATTATGCAGTGTTGGTACTAATATGTTGTAACTGTATAATTTTGCAATTTGAAATCTGTGAACAATTGTTTGTTGGTTTGTGATTTTGTAGTATAGAGGGGTGTTTCATGTTAATGTGCAAATACAATAATTGTTGTGCTGCTATTAAGATTAGTGAGGGATGAAGTTGCTGAGAAAATATGTGTGAAGTTCAAGGAGTTGAGTGTTGGTAACTTTTGTTTGTTTTTCTCTATTGCTGGATATTCTAATTGTATTGTTGAATGTAATGATGATTTGTGGAATATGTTGTCAATGGTAGGTGGTAGTGGTTGTCATGTTGTTGATGTTGTTGTGGGTGATAAGAGAATTGTGGAGGTTGATGATGGTAATTCTTGTAGGATTGATTCTGTAATTGGTGAGAGTTCTTTGGTTAACGATTGTGATGATTTTGGTGGTTTGTTGCCTAGTTTTTATCCAGAACTAGAGAGAGTTTTGTTGTCTGCTAGTTGGAAGGGGATTATACATAGTGTTGGTCAAGAATTTGAAGGTGGAGTGCCGGCGTTCCGCATTGCATTGGCTAAGTATGCAGTTGAGTGTGGTTTTACAGTGAATTATTTGAAGAATGATGCAACAAGAGTAACTGCTGAATGTGTGATGAAGTCGTCTACGGGTTGTAAATGGCTTGTACATGGAAGGGTGTTGATGAATTCCGGTATTTTTTTTATAATAAAGTTGGATAATGTGCATACTTGTGGGGTTGTGGCTCGTAGATCTTGTGACAAAATGGTTGGTTCTAGACTTGTGTCTGATATTGTGCAAAATGATATTAGTGATAATCCATTAACTCGTCCTATTGAAGTTAAAAAAAAGTTGAAGAAGCAATATGGTATAGATGTTTCTTATCGAGTTGCATGGTTAGGAGTTGATAAGGCAAGAGGTGGGTTGTTTGGTGATTTTGCAACTTTTTTTGACCAACTTCGATGGTACCTTGAGACGGCTATGAGAACGAATCCGGGAAATGTGTTTGAATTAGATGTGGATGAAAGTAGTGGGTGTTTTTGGAGGTTGTTTGTGGCATTTCATGGATGTTTTATGGCTTTCAATTTTGTCGTCCGTTGTTGTTTGTTGATGGTACATTCTTAAAGGGGCGTTACAATGGGCATTTGCTTGTAGCAACATCAAAGGATGGTAATCAAGGTATGTATTTATTTGCAGTTAGTATAGGTTTGGTTTGTCAGTGTGTTATTGTATTGTGAGTCTACTAATTTTTGCAATTTGATGTTATGTTATTTGCAGGTCTGTTTCTTTTGGCTTTTGCGATTGTTGACGCTGAAAATCAAGATAATTGGATGTGGTTCTTAAGTCAGTTGTTAAAGGGTGTTGGTTCAGGCCGGAGATTGACCTTTGTGTCGGATCATCAACATGGATTGCTAGACGCTCTTTCAGTGGTTTTTCCCAATGCACATCATGCATATTGCTTGAATCATTTGAAGAGAAATTTGATTGACAGATTGGTGGGACTTCGTACTAACTATAAGCTAAGTTTGATGAAAATATTAGTTAAATGTGCTTATGCGCCAACGGTTGCTTCTTTCCAACATTATATGGAGAAATTGAGGCGTATTGCTGGGAATGGTAGAGTTGATAGTATGTTGGATGGTTTGCAAAATGATAAGTGGGCGAATGCATTTTTTAGAGGGAAATGATATGGTGAGATGTCATCTAATGCTGCCGAGTCTTACAATAATTGGATTGGTGGGGCCCGTGAGTTGCCTATTACTTGTGTGGTGATATGATTAGGGTTCAAATCATGACTGAATTGTCGAATAGAAGAGCTAAATCTAAAAGATGGACTACAAAATTGTGTCCTGTTATGGAAAAAAAATTGGTGGACTCTTTGGAGCTAGCTAAGTCTTGGGATGTGATTGTTGCTAGTGATATTGTGCTTGAGGTTCATTCTTCTATTTCTTTTTATGTTGATATTGGTAGACAGACTTGTTCTTGCCATGAATGGCAATTGAATTGTTTTCCTTGTTGTCATGTTGTGCATGCTTTGCGTAGTAGTGGTAGAGATGTGTATGGTTTCATTGATCCCTTTTTTCATGTAGATTGTTTTAGAGAGTCATACAAGGAATCTGTTTATCCAGTGCCTTCAAGTGAGAGATTTGACTTTGATGGTGCCAGTAGTTCGATTATCAAACCTCCTATAACGAAGAAGCAACCCGGGCGGAGCAAGAAGAAGAGGATACCTTCTAGGGGTGAGAATGTGAAGCAAATCAAGTGTGGGAGGTGCTTGAAATATGGGAATCACAATAAGAAGACGTGCAAGGCTGCTATTTGAGGCCACGGTCTATTCTTTTGGATTTGTATTTGAATTTAAGGAATTATGATAATAAAAAATGTGATACTTGGTATTATGGAAGTAATGAATAAAGTTGGTTGAATTGTTTTTTGTTTTTTGATGTGTTTTTTAGTTATTGAAGTTGTTTTGTAACAGTTTTGTTTTGTTTTTTATTGTGGGTTTGGTTGGTTTTATTTTTATGGAATGCACAGAAGGTTTTTGAAAATTTCTTATTGAAACTGTATAATATTGAAATGCAGTTTTACTACATGATTCATTTATTTCTTATTTTATAGCGAGAAAACTGTAAAATTTTGCAGTTTTATTTTCAATTTTGAAATTTAGTTCATCTATTTGTTGAGTCATGAAATTGGATGCATAATTGTGTAGCATAAATTTTGTTTGAGTAATGAAACTGTATAATTTTGCAGTTTTAATAATTATAAGAAACAACTTGATGAAATTGCATAATTTTGCAGTTTTAAGAATTATTAGAAACAACCTAATGAAACTATATAATTTTGCAGTTTGAAGAATTATTAGAAACAACCTTTACTGTATGAAAATATATGCAACCACAAACAAGTACACAAACAATCAGAAGTACAAGCACAATAATAATAACAAGAAGATGAGCAACAACAACATCAATGACAACAATCATTTTCACCATAATAACCAGAAGAAGATCATTCCCAAAAGTATATAAAGTATTTGTCACATGTTAAAAAAAAAAAAGTACAAAGATATGTTCACTTGAATATTTGTATTGTCAAGAAGTTTGCTGATTGTTTCTATGGTTTGGTATGTTTTGTCAACATTTGGCAGTGCTCGAGTTTCCAAGATCGGTTCTCATCATTGAGGAAT